TCCCGGACCCCGGATGCACCGGGTCCGGACGGCTTCACCGACGTCCCATTCAACGGGCTGCCATGCCCGTGCATGTGCGTCTCAGCCACCGGAACGCTCTGCAGGCCGTGGCGACTGCCTGCCTCCTACTCAGTCTTCAAAATCCAGCTCAAATGTCATCTCCTGTAAATCTTCGACCTCTCCAAGGAGTGAGTCACTCCTTCCTCTGGGGTCCGTGCCTGCACCAGACAACACTGCTCGTGGTGCTTTCGGCGGCATTCGAAGCAGCATCCAGGCGGGGCCACGTGTGTCTTGGTTAACTGCCGAATCCCCAGTGCCTGACACATAGGTGCTCAAAACAGTCATCGCAAGAGCGACTGAATGAAAGGGCATGCTTTCTATACGAGTGATGATGGCTTTGAAGCTTAACCTCAATGTTGAAACCTTTTAGACTGTGGTCCCAAGTTAAATCTTACTCTTTTCTACTCCCTTTCTTAAATTCGGTGCCTTGGGGATCTTCATGCACTTGATCAGGACAAAAGCGCCAAGGCTTCAACTTTTTCCCCACCTCGGGGTCTCTGCACATGCCGTTCCCTCTGCCTAGAACACTTTTCCTTGTGCTTTTTGCTTCCTCATTCTCGGATTTCAATCTGCACTCTCTGGAATGGGCCTCCCCCGCAGCTCTCTGTGCCACATATCCCTTCGTTTGTCTCCTTGTTCACAGTGTGATATTAGGATTGGTTTAGTACATGTTCCTGGTTTTGTGTCCATGACCTATCTCCATCCCCAGAGCATACGCTCCCAGTGGCCAGGAAATTGACTTGTGTTGTTCACCGCAGTGCCTAGAAGGGGGTCTGGAACATAGTAGGTGCTCAGCAAGCAGCTGGAGAAGCATGGGGAGTGTATGAATGAGGCTAAGAATTACTGTGTCCAGTCACACAAGGAGCAGGCCTGAGGCAGCCCTCAGAGAGGTCTCGGGTTCCCCATCAGCTTCATCCGTCTCCAGGAACTGCCCCCACCCTGGGCAGCACCCTCAGATCCCAGGGTCTGAGTCATCATGACTGCTGTCATCAGGTTAGTAACAAGGCACTTCAGACAGGGACAGCGGGTCGCCCGGGGGCAGCAGCTGGTTCCCACCTAACGGAGCGCTCAGGCTGAGGAAGAGCCAGCCCGCCGGCCTTGGATCAGAACGGAGGCTCTGCCACTCACTCACAGTGGGACCTTGGGCCCATCTCCTCCTTTCTCTGAGCCTCAGTTTTCCTCATCTGTAGAATGGGGGCAGTGCCCTGTGCCCTGGCCTGGCTGAGGGGGCATGAGGCAGGTGCTGGGCACACTGTAGATGTGTGGGTAATGTCAGTAGCTTTTTACTTTTTTTGCCAGTGACGAGGGGCGGGTTGTGGGTGTGTAAGGGCAGGTATGCCAGGACATTGGCATTATAGCTTAGTCAGGAGGAGCTGAACCTGAGAGGCAGCGCCTGTCCTTTCCGAGGATGTACAACCTCGGAGCCTGTGGAGCTCTCAGTCTCTCTCTCCCAGCCCAGCCTGGATTCTTGTCCATGACGCCCTTTCTCGCCTGAACAACCTTTTCCTGCTGGCACTTCTCCCAGCCTGTGCAACCTCCCCTAGCTGAGAAGCTCTCCCACACCCGGCAGCCTTCCCCTGCCTGTGCCATCTCTACCTGCCCTACCATCTCCACCCAGACTGTGCAACCTCTCTCAGCTCCTGCAGCCACAGCGCACTCCAGCCCCACTTTCCTCAGACCAGGAGGGGCTGGTTGTAAGGCAGAGAAAGAAAAAATGCTTTCAACCACAACTGCTGAGGCCACGAGGTGGGGGTGGGGGGTCGGGGGGCAGGCCTGGCAACCTGCCTTTATCCCTTTCTTGCCCAGCAGGCCCCCACCAGCCTGCCCTGGCCCCGGCGCCAGCCAAAGCAGCCTGCGTGTCACTGGTTTGTGCTGGGGAGAGTTGGCAGATCCTAGCCCCAGTCTACATCATCAGGCAGATGAGGAACTCAAGGCCCAGAGAGGTCCAGAGCCTCGCCCGTGGTTGCACAGCGAGGAGGGACCAGGGCCATGCGGGTACACTGGCCTCACCTCCTTGGGGACAATTTGCATAACCAGATCCTCCCTGGGGGCTCTGGGGACCAGCAGGCTGGGTTCCTGCTGCAGGTGTTCTGGCCATTCGGGGCCTCGGTGGGCTCCCTGCCCACACCCGGGGAAGTGAATATTCTCAGGTTGCCTCAGAATTTCCACGTTTACTCAGAGCTCTCATTTGAGCTGTCATAAAAAGTCCCTCTGGCGGGGTGCCAGGGCGAGGAGTGGGGGGTGGCACCTGTGAGTCCGGGGGTGGGTGGGGGCTCCTCCCAGCTCCCCCTCCCCCCCACCCCTGGGCTTGGAGGCCCTGGAGGGCAGGGAAGAAAGACACGTGAGGAGAGGGCTGTTAGGAAGTCCTTGTTCCCCTGTCTTCACAGCTTTCTTCCCTCTGCTTGTAAATGACTTCCTGGGTGACCCTAGAAAAACCCGCCCTCGCTGAGCCTGTTTCCCCACCTGTGAACGTGGGGAGTAGAGTCATCGTAAGAGCTATCACTTATTGAGGGCTTAGCCTATGCCAGAAGCTGTGCCGAGTGTCCTAGCTAATAACAAGGGGATTATCGCCAATAATATTGAAAGTAAAACATCAGAGCTGTGCCCCGTGGCCTCATCCTCCCCCTGGCTGGCTGGCTGTGCACCACTGCATCCCGGGGGCAGGGCAGGGCAGGGCCTGGCGCACAGTAGGTGCTTCATAAACACGTGTGGAACAAAACCTCACAGCAAGCTCGAGACAGGCGCTATGTCCATGTGACAGATGAGGAAACAGGTTCAGAGAGGTTAGTGGCTTCCTCAAGGTCACACAGCTGGGACTCACACCCAGGTCTGGCTGCTTCCAAAGCCCCACATTAGCTGATGGTGAAGGACTGCTCCCCTCCCGGCCGTGGAGGGGAGGACAGCTTCCTTCCTTCTCTTCATTTTTCCCTCCAGCGCCAGGAAGGCCGAGATGCTGGGGAGAAGCTGGTGCCTCCAAAACCTCCGGTGGCCCGCGTTTCCACCTTCTCTTGCACTGGCCTCCCTCCAGCATCCCCCCCCCCCCCC